CCCCAAAACCCCAAAACCCCAAAACCCCAAAACCCCATTTCTCTCCTTCAAAATTATATAATCTAATAAATATGAATTTTCGTGAACTAAACATATCGAACTCTCTTCAGCCGCCCCTTCAGAATCACAGTTACATGCAGAGAAGGCGAAGTCATTTCCATGAAATGTAGGTCTTCCTTCTGATAACCTATTTTCTAGCCCTTTCAGCCTTGATTCTGATGAACTAAATCTGAGCAAGGAAGACTCAGTTTCTTCTATCAACTCTAGAGAAGAAGTTATTGAGCTTTCTAATGAGAAATCCCAGGGTCGCCCTCGGGGATATTACGTTCCCAGGCTTAGCAAAGTAATTAGTAAGTAAATCATTTTAACGACAGCATAAAGAGTGTTTTGTTTGGTATATTTATCCTCTCCATTCCTTTAAGAAATCAAATCTTCCATTACGTGTCTATTTTATGTCTTAAGTCTGACAAAGATTTCTATAGAAGTCATCCATAAGACTGAAGTTGAAAGCAAAGAGGCTCATAAGAACTTAGACGCGAGACTTCCCTTCATGCAGACCCCTTGGCCAAGAATTAAGAGAGGTAAAAGAGTAAGACAAATTGTAGTAACTTTTCTTTTAATACCGTACTAAGTTTTAATGCTGTAATTGACCTGAATGGGCACTGATATTTTAGAAGCCGTTTAGCTTTATCATCAATCCTTAAGTCTAGTAAATGGCTCTTAGTGATTAATATGGGAATTCGGATTATAAACTTTGGCTAAATTATTTCCATAGATAAATAGGAAGAGGAAACAAGTTCTTAATCCAGAGGATATTGTTTTCAGCTCAAGAGATACTCGTAGAAGCTTACCTCATTTCAAGTGCCATTCCTCATCAATTATGAAGAACAAGGGCGGGAATTTAGTAGGCAAGTTACTGGTTGACCAAAGTAAGTATTATAATTTCACCCCAAAATTGTCAAAATCTTAGCAGAATAATAGAAGGTGATGATTTACTAGATTAAGTATTAGTAACAACTGTTCAGTCTCTATTTTAACAAAACTTGAGATTTTGGCCATTTTATTACGCTATTTCTTGTCAGAGAAATCGGTCCTTACCAGAGATGGACGAAAGGAGCTTTCTTAGCTAACTCAACCAGAAATTTCGTCCTCTTTTCTTAGAAAAATCCTGTCAAACATTTTTGTAGTAAAAGAGGTTGCAAATTTTGGAGGAATATTTTGAAAACTTCTGAATATCTCCGTTTTAAATTTAAACCTGGTTTAGAAATGAAATTAAAAAGAAACCACCCCAGCATCGTCAAGACTAAAAAGTAAGATTTTGTGTACCTTTAAGGCTTAAAATGCCTTCATTTCTCCTTTTAGAGATTTCTGACGGAGCCTTTATTATACTGCTTTTAGAGCCCAACCACAGATGAAGATAGACATGTCGGAAGAAGTTTTGAATAAACGAAAAGAATCTTCAAATTCAAAATTATTTGTTGTTCAGCCAATCCATTTTGGGGTCACTTTGGACAAGTTACGGAATAAGAATCGACTTGGGACTAAGACTACGAATCTCAAGTCTATTAATATCTCTGGGATTGAGATGTAGTCAAGACAGTCCTCTTTGCTAACGCTCTTGTAAATGCATTGAATATTCTTGCTAATCGTTCATTGGTTAGCATAACTTTAATTTCAGTTTAAAATTTCAGATGAAAAATCGATGAATATAGACCATTTTTAAGGTGAGAAATACCCAAGAATAGTTTCTTAAAGCTAATCTATCAGAGCTAGAGCTGCTTCCATCTACCTTAGTTGTGTTTGTTTCAAATTAATGTGCTCTCTATATGCTTTATTTCCCACAGAATTATGTTATGTACTAAATGGTCCGAATTAGGAGGCTGTTAAAATTGTTTTATCGAAATTTTAGGTGAATGAGGTTTCCCAAAATCTAACACTTTCAATAGAACCACTTTACCTGGAATGAGAACCTTTGTTTCAGATACATATTTTGGGGTGAGGCTTTTACTTATAACCTTGGATTAAGTTCAGAAACTTTATGCTTTCACACAGCACAATCCAAGATTTATAAAAGAAATTTTAATCCAGGCTATTTACAACAAAAATTTTGATGATTTTTTAGTTTGATCTAAATCTTATTGAACTGGAGAAATTAGTTTAACTGATAGCAAATGTCTGGAGAAGATCTGGGGTTTTGGGGTTTTGGGGTTTTGGGGGTTTTGGGG